ATGCAATAATTTTTTCAGACTCTTTTCCATGCTAGGTTATTACAATACATTGAATATAGCTCCCTGTGCTATACAGTAGTTCTCTACTGTTTCTCTCTTTTATTTATAGTAGTGAATATCTGCTAATCTCAGACTCCTAATTTATGCCCCCCCCCTCACCTTTCCCCTTTGGTAACCACAAGTTTGCTTTCTATGTCTCTGAGTCTACTTCTGTTTTTTAAATAAATTCATTTGTATCATTTTTCTAGATTCTTAACCCCATCAGTTGGCTAAGAAGCATAGGCTCTTAACTGAGGACCTCCCAGCTGCTGGGGAACAGGGTATGATGTCATTCCTAAGTGACAAGAAAATCAGAAAGGAAAGAAGGTAGACAGATGCAAGCCATAGCAGAAAAGTTTATCAGAAAGCACCTGGCTAGAGTTTGGAGTAATTGGCTTCAAGCTTTGTATTTCTCTTCCTGTCTTATCTGTGGTCCAGGAAGTGGGTAAAGAACAGCTGAGTGGGGGTGAGGGTGGAAAGATGAAGGGATGGTTAAGGTGCGGAGGTCTGGGGCAGGGCAGGGCTGAGGACTATTGGATGCAATGGTGTGGGGTCCATGGTCTGGCAATGGGACATAGCATCCTTTCCTTGTAGAGAAAATAATCTGAGGCATACTAAGTGAAGGTTTAGCAGTTATGAGAAAATATACCTTTGCTTACATCTAAATCACTCCCAGAAATAAGTTACCAATGAAACACTTTCTTAAAGTCACATCTTTTCCCACTGATTATTATTACTGTGTCAGAGATCTATTCTGATGAGAAAGCTTAAGGAGGTTTTCTCCAGTATAAAGTACAAATCATACTTAGGAATCATAATAATCTCTTTAAATAACTTCCTGTTTTAGTACTATGTAGTTTCTATTAATCATTGCTAACTTAATTATAGATTACATTTGCACAATACTTCATTCTTCTATAAAAACACTTTCCCAGATATTCTGTCATCTCAGATTTCCGACATCTAAAACAAAGAGAAATTCTAACCTCTCATTTTAGAGAGAATTCTGAAACTCAGCTTGGTACTAATCAGCATCAGTTCTGTTTTTTATTGAATGATTAAACATTAGGGAACCATGCTCATATATGTGTATATATACACACACACATATAGAGTTGGGAATATATATATATATACATACATATATATATTTACATATATACACACACACACACACACACACACACATATTATATCTGTAAAATCTCATTTAATCCTCATGATTAAGCCATGAGATAGTTAGCATCTCTATTCCCTCTGTTTCAAAGATACCACAAGCTGAGATCTGGTTGCTTCCAAAACTGATGGTTTGAAATCACTACAACTGGCTGAAGATGTGACTTACTAGTTCACTGAGCTAGTAAGTGACTGAAGAGGAAATGAAAATAGTCTTTTGCCCTCAATTTTCACATGAAACTCTAATGGAGAATTTTAATATAAAGAATCAGTCTTAGAAAGTCATTCCACATTAATTAAAAACAAGTATATTTAAATGTTTAGGGAAATTCTAATAAACTGTTTTGGACTTCCCTTTTAGCTCAGATGGTAAAGAATCTGTCTGCAATGCAGGAGACCTGGGTTCGATCCCTGGATTGGAAAGATCCCCTGGAGAAGGGAATGGCAACCCACTCCAGTATTCTTGCCTAGAGAATACCATGGATGGAGGAGCCTGGCAGGCTACTGTCCATCAGGTAGCAAAGAGTCGGATGGACTTATTATCTTTACTATTGTATCATAAATTTAGTGGTACTCGTTAGGTGGAAAAATCACGTGGAAATATTTAGCTATAATTAATGTTAGCAAGCAATTTTTCATTGACATATAGGTGCTCATTTCAATTCAACAAGGTGATTTTGAGCAAGGTGTTTTACTTAGTCCACACAAAGATGAGTAGACAGTATCCCTATTGAAAGAAATGTTCAGTCCTTCTTTAGAGGACTGTTCTTGAAAGACATTAGGTTTCCTATGCATGATTTTTATTCTCCATTGGGAGAAGGGTATCAGAAGAGGGAAAAACAGTTGAATGTAGACTGAGGAGTTTACTCACAAAACTACAACACAAAAAGGAACGTAACAGTTACTATGAAAAAGAGAGAGGAGAAAAGTGCCTTGGAGGAGAATGAGAAGGGCGCTCTCTTATTGTATTGGAATAGAAGGGGAATCAGCAAAGGCCTCATGACAGAGGTGATGTTTAAGATGAGCCTTCACGCATGGCTAGAAATCCAAAAAGCATGTGGTGGTAGGGCGTTCACACACGAAGAGAATGCTGTAAGTAAAAGCAGAGAGAGTAGTTCGTCCTATCTGCAGTGTGCATGGTTTAACAAAAAGGCACAAGGCTGAAAATCGGAATCTTTTTGTAGAAGGTTTGAACACGGGGATGATGTCTTAGTAAACACGGTAGAGTGAAAAACAGATACTGGATTTGTGCTAAGGAGACAGATGTGCGCACTTCAGCGGTGGCATTTTTGAACTTGGGCAAAGCAATGAATCCTTTTGAACATTGGCTTCCTCACCTGTAACATGGGAATGTAATCATTACGCTAAGGGTTGAGTGTAAACCTGAATGGAGCTAGCACCCTGAAAACCGTGAAGCACAGCCCGTGGCGTACCAGCAGCTCCATCACTGTGCGTGTGTGTTCAGTCTGTCTGTTGTGGTCAGCTCTGCAACCCCATGGACTTCAGCCCGCCAGGTTCCTCTGTCCATGGGGTTCCCTAGGTCAGAATACTGGAATGGGGTGCCATTCCCTGCTCGAGGGGACCCTCCCGATCCAGGGACTGAACCTGAGTCACTTGTCTCCTGCATTGGCAGGTGGGTTCTTTACCAAAGGTGCCACCTGGGAAGCCCTTCCGGCTGTGTCCGTGATGGTATATGAAGACTGTGGAGCCAGGCGAGCTTTTCCTTTGGATCTGCACTTTAGAAAAATTAATTCAGCAGAGATGTGTGGGAAGGATTAATAACAACAGTAGAAGGAGAACCATCAGAAAGCATTAACATCTTTCAGGTTAAAAATAATGAAGGTGTGATTAGAATGGTAGTTCAGGTAAGTGGAAAGGTAGAGACGTTGCAAGGATATGTTGCAAGAATACGAATTAAGAAATGCACTGAACTGACGCTGTCCCTAGGCACAAATTCAGCAGTGTTGCTTTGCAATCTCTTTAAAAGAGATAACATGATTTGATACATGATAGAACAGGCAGATGCTTGGGGAGCAGAGGGGAGAAGGTCATAAGGGGACATTAGGTCTTCCTTTGCTTTTTTTAGAAAACCTTGGTAACAGCAGGATAGAGACGGGACACCTTGACTGCAAGAGTTTGGTCCCCCCCGCCCCATGGCACGTGTGTCACGGTGGGTGAGAGGTGACATAGAGTCAGTAAGTCCTTCCAGGGTGGGACTTCCAGAAAATGTGTTCACCTAAACAGAATTTCTTGCTTTTCTCAAAATCAGTTCAGTTCAGTTTCTCAGTCGTGTCTGACTCTTTGTGACGCCATGGACTGCAGCAGCTCAGGCTTCCCTGTCCATCTCCAACTCCTGGAGCTACTCAAACTCATATCCATCGAGTCGGTGATGCCATCCAACCATCTCATCCTCTGTCATCCCCTTCTCCTCCTGCCTTCAATCTTTCCCAGCATCAGGGGCTTTTCAATGAGTCAGTTCTTCCCATCAGGTGGCCACAGTATTGGAGATTCAGCTTCAGCATCTGTCCTTCCAATGAACACCCAGGACTGATCTCCTTTAGGATGGACTGGTTGGATCTCCTTACAGTCCAAGGAACTCTCAAGAGTCTTCTCCAACACCACACTTCAAAAGCATCAATTCTTCAGCACTCAGCTTTCTTCATGGTCCAACTCTCACATCCATACAATCATACTGGAAAAACCATAGCCTTGACTAGACAGACCTTTGTTGGCAAAGTAATGTCTCTGCTTTTTAATATGCTGTCTAGGTTGGTCATAGCTTTTCTTCCAGTGAGCAAGTGTCTTTTAATTTCATGGCTTCAATCCCCATCTTCAGTGATTTTGGAGCCCAGAGAACTATTTCCATTGTTTCCCCATCTATTTGCCATGGAGTGATGGAACCGGCTGCCATGATCTTAGTTTTCTGAATGTTGAGTTTATTTCTCAAAATAGATCACCTCTTGCCTTAGTGCTTGTCACTTAGGTTTGGAAGCAGAAAGAATCAAGAAATAGGGTTCAGAACTGATATGTAAATTCCAAGCCAGTTTCTTGGTAATCAGAAATGGATTCAATTGAATTCCACAATCATTTAGTGAATGCAAATATTTTCCAGGAGATGGAACTGGAGAAAAATACCAGATATGAATGAAACAAACACCATCCCCCTGCCATCTTGCACCCCTGCCATCTTGCACTCTCTCTGTCTCTCACAGTTTAGTGAGAGTGTATGTCAGAAAGCAGATGAAGTATTATTACATGTTGAGCTAAAGTTGTATTCTTTATTTGTTTTTTCACTTCTCCAAGAATGACATTTCTATGAAGACCAAAATGATGTTTTGGACTTACTGGAAACTTATACTGCTCCTAATAAAATAAATGGCCCCTCTAAATAATGATCTCTGTATTTTGTGCATTCCTTCAGAAACACCCTGTGAACTTTGTTGGAAGCAGCCCCCTTTGTATGGTATTTTCTGTAGAACTTTACCACTGGGTCGTCCCTTTACTAAGGAGCTTAAATGAAATGAAAATAGGATAGCCTAGTAGATCTTTCTAAGGTAGAAAGCACTGATGGAGATAGCCATGGAACCAGGAATTGGTAGATGAGGAAAAGAAATCATAAAAGTGGGTTTCAGATCTTTTTTTAAAAAAGTTCCTTTCATTTATTATTTACCTCTGTTCACTCCTTATCCCTTCCATGCCTTACTAAGACCAGCTTGTGAGACTGTTTTATGTGCTACTTCAAATGCTCTCTGTTTGACAGCGTTGTTTTTTCTCCCTCCCTTTAGGAGATGACCTGGCCTCCACCGCTTGCTGCTATTCAACCACCTGGCAAAGTGGAACCAAGCAAGTTTCCATTTCCAAATAAGGTGAGATCCTGCATCACTCAGGATGAGTATACTTTACTCACACAAGATTTCTAGTGGACAGTGGGCTTTCCCTTATTGTCTTTCCCTGTGTAAATATTCCTGGGAGGGGCACATGGATCTGATTTTCAACAATTTTCAAGTGTAGGTCTATTCATCCAAGGGATAATATCAAGCTTACAGTCCTATTATACTTACCTCCACTTTCCTACTTCCTACAAAACATGATGAATATTGTAATTATTATTTTATCTAGAAACGTGTGAAGTTGAAATGCATCTTATAATCATTTTATGCATTCGTTGTGATTGTATGCCTTGTTTTTCTTTCTGAAAAGATGTTATTAAATTAATGATGTGTCTTAAAATCAGTGTCTTAGAATTAAGGACATGAAGTATATAATTTCTTAGTTATCTTTTATAAAGTTGAAAATATTTTCTAGGACTTAATAAAAAAGATTTTCGGAGATCTAGCAGACACAAAATATCTGTCACAAAATGTATTTCAATTATACATGAGTGTAACAAGTTTTGATTTTTTTAATGATACAACCAACACATAATTATATACTCATTATAAAGATGTAATTATACAAATAGAAGAAGAAAAATATGAAAGTTTATCACATTCTTGTCCAGATTTTATTTCCCTACCCAGAGATTACCATCAAGAGTTTGGTGTATACCATGCGCGTTATATACACATTTGTGTATATGCAGTTTTTTTAGAAAGCCCTAAATAGTGTAGTACTGAAAGTGCTTTTTCTAAAAATTGGTTTTTTTCCAGATATACACAATACACAAATGTCATTGCTAAATGTTAAGTCACAATTTTCTAAAGTAAATGATTAAAATAATTGTTCATTATAATTATCACGATGGTAAACTCTGTCCTAAAAGTTGACTTTTAGTTCTCTTAATAAGGTATATTTAGAAGTCTTTCCAAGTGAGCATAGAGAGTTTTTTTTTTATTTTTATTAACAGTAGCAGTAAGCGGACAGTATTGCAAGCGATCATTTTGTAACTGGTTTTTAGCATTATGCCTTCACAGTGACCTGTCAGTCTCCTAATTCGTCAAGGTTTACTGTGTCTCAAGTCTTCTGCTTGTTGAGGTGTGCTTATTGTGTTGCCGGGGTGCATTCTCTACCAGGTTTCCGGTCCAGGCTTGATCCAAAGTCTCTGATTGTCACCCTTCGTACTTACCTTCAGTCCTTCAACTTCCCTCCTCTCTGCTGGTTCAGCCTCCTGGCGCTCTTGTCTTGGTCTCTTGCTTTAAATACCATGTATGCTCAGCCAGCTGACGTCTAAATCTGTATCTCTGTCTCCCTCTCCATTCCCCAAGCTCCACACTTGTGTTTCCGTTTACTTACTCAGCATCCCCACGTGGGGATCTAGCGAACATCTCAGGCTTGACATATCAAAAACTGAGCCTTTACTCTTCCCACGAACCTTCTCTCTTGTGTTTTGCAAATAAGTGGTTTCTTCATTTTTGCAGTTGGCACAGGTCAAAGTCTTGGAGCCATCTCTAATTCTTTTCTAAGGTACCTATAAAAGCTATGGTTTTTCCAGTAGTCATGTACACATGTGGGAGTTGGACTATGAAGAAGGGTGAGTGCCAAAGAATTGATGCTTTCAAATTGTGGTGTTGGAGAAGACTCTTGAGAGTCCCTTGGACTGCAAGGAGATCTAACCAGTCAATCCTAAAGGAAATCAACCCTGAATATTCATTGGAAAGACTGATGCTGAAGCTGAAACTCCAATACTTTGGCCACCTGATGGGAAGAGCTGACTCATTGGAAAAGACCCTGATGCTGAGAAAGATTGAAGGCAGGAGGAAAAGGGGATGACAGAGAATGAGATGGTTGAATGGCATCACCAAGTTGATGGATGTGAGTTTGAGCAAACTCCGGGAGATAGTGAAGGACAGACGAGCCTGGCATGCTGCAGTCAGTGGAGTCACAGACAACAGAACGTGACTTAGCAACTACACAACAACAGCAGTAATGAAGTACACATACCAAGTGGCTTAAAATAGAAAAAATGTGTTTTTCTCACAGTTCTGGAGGCTAGAAGTCTGAAATCAAAGTGTCAACAGGTTCATGCTCCCTCTGAAGGCTCGAGGGAAGGATCCTTCCTTGCCTCTCCCAGCTTCCGGTGACTGCTGACAGCAGGTCACACCCGTTGGCTTGTAGATACATCACTCTGTTGTCTGCCTCTACACTTATGAGGCCATCTCGCCAAGTCTCCCTCCTCTTCCAAGGATGGCAGTCACTAGATTTAGGGCCCACCCTCAGCAACCATCTGAACTTGAGTTTACCTGCAGAGACTCTTTATCCACATAAGATCAAATTCACAGGTTGTGAGCAGACATGAGCTTCTGGGGGATGCTCTTCAACACCATCCTTGATTCTTCTCTTTCCCTCATGGCATGCATCCAACCCATCATTAAATCATATCCACCCTACCTTCAAAATATGTCTAGAATCTAAATGTTTCTCCCCATCATTGCATCATAGAAGGCAATCCTGTCTTCTCTAGGATTACTATAGAATTTGTGGGGAGCTATTTCAGCTCTAGATCTTTTGATTTTTCTCAAGAAAGAATAGGTGACTTTACAAAGTATAAGAACATTGGACTTCCCTGGTGGTCCAGTGGTTTAAGAATCCACCTGCCAACGCAGGGAACATACATCCCAGGTCGCGGAAGATTCCACATACTACATAGCAGCTAAGCCCATGGGCCAGAACTACCTTGCCCATGTGCTACAACTGCAGAAGCCCGCATACCCTAGAGTCCATGCTCTGCAACAAGAGAAGCCACAGCAGTCAGCCTGCTCACCGCAACTGAAGAGGAGCCGCTATTGCTGCAACTAGAGAAAGCCTGCGCGCGGCGATAAAGACCCAGCGCAGCCCCCAAAATTAAATAAATAAGTGAAGTGTAGGAACATTGCATGATTTTAATAATGCCTTTCTTTCAAACATTTCACAATAAGTATTGGTGATTTATCTCATGCCAATGAAATAAGACTGCACTAGTGTCATTTCTACTATAACAAATCACCATAAACTTAGTGACTTAAGACAACGCAAATTTATTGTTTTACAACACTGGAAGTCAGAAGTCTAAAATCAGTTTCACAGAGCTAAAATCCAGGTGTCAGCAGAGCTTTGTTTCTTCTGAATGTTTTAAGGGAGAATTTGCTGTCTTGTCTTTCTCGGCTCCAGGAGGCTGCCCCTGTTACTTAGCTCGTGGCGCTCGTCACTCTGACCTCTAACCTCCTTGTCACATCTCCCCCGACTTTCATGCCACCTCCCTTCCCTTTATGATGATGCTGGGCCTCTGGATAGTCCAGGATGATGTCCCGTCTCAAAATAGTTAATCACTTCTGCGAAGTCCCTTTTGCCATGAGAAGTAGCATACTCACAGGGCCTGGGAATTAAGATGCAGAGGTCTTTGGAGGAGCCCTTGTCCTGCCTACTGCAAAGACCTCACTAATTCTCTTTTAACCTGTATCTCCACTAATTAGTATTCTGACAGCTGGAGGCTTGCAGTTCATTAATTAGATTATTAATGTTTGGGATTATCATGATTGCTAGTGTGTAGGAGCTAGAATTGTTTATGGAACTTGCAGGGCAAAATCTCCAAAATGACTAATAAATAATGAAATTAGGCCCTTATTGAGATTAAAGGAGCAATTTGACCTCAAAGGAAAGTCGATTTAAATGTGCTTTCTGAGTTACCAGTAGCGCTAAATTAATTAGCTACATACTTCCGAGAATTTCCCCAATTTGTCTGGGTATTGAAGGACATAACATATAATAAAGTCAATTGATACTGAACTTGGATGTTTTTTCTATTCTCTGAAGATTTAATTTCGAGTCACAATTCCCTAGACAAACACTACCAGACGTGTCTGCCTTATTCTTCAAATCTCAAAAGTAATTGAATTTGGTAAAGAATGCATGCCATTAGCAGGTATTTCAACCAAGAAAAAAAAAAAAAAGAATCTGTTTTGTCCTTTTCCCTTGATTTCCAGAGCAGTCTCATAAGTTTTGAAACTCAAATAGGGAACTAAAATTGTAGAACTTTCTTCATCCCCAGAAGGCATCTGTGCAAATCTAATGGCATTTCGGAAACATTTCACATGGCAGTGAATGCCGAAACTGATGGAATCAGATCTGGTTTGAAACTGTTCTTGCTGATCAGTTTCTAAAGCATTAGGCAGAAGAGTTCTAGCCTGATTAGAGAAATGAGAGCCCTATTGTCTTTCTCTCTATATAGTACAAGGAGAATGAAAGCCAGCAAGCATGAAGGAAAGCACTTTGAAGTTGAAAAGTTTATGATCTATATCTCTCTTTGGGTTCCTAGCTTGCTTTAGAAATGACCACAAAATGTTTGGGCTAAAACTTCACTTTTACTTCATTACCTCAAAGTAAACATTTAAATTGACTTTAATTTTCATTATTTCAGTTGTTCCGAGCTTCATAGAAAAGAAAGTGATTGGTAGGGAAGAAGGAAAACCAAACCACAGCAAGTGTTGTTTTTCCTCTAGTAACTCGCTTTATGTGGGGGTCTGAAAAGCAAAGAAGCTGTATTTCCATTTCTTGTCTTTTATAATTCCTATGATGGACAAGCAAGAGGACATGTGAGGACAGCAGTCTTCAGATGGTTCCAAAAAGCCATTTTTTAAAAAACTGGAGTATAATTGCTTCACAATGTTCTGTTAGTTTCTGCTGTTATTACCACTACCGAGCATGTACTCTGAGAAAAAAACCATAATTCAAAATGACACATGTACCCGGCTGTTCACTGCAGTGCTATTTACAATAGCCAGGCCACAGAAACAGCCTTAACGGATAACAAAAGATGGACGGATAAAGAAGCTGTGGTACGTATATACAATGGAATATATATTTAGCCATAAAATAATGAAATTGAATCATTTGTAGAGATGTGGATGGACTTAGAGACCACCATACAGAGTAAAGTAAGTCAGAAAAAAAA